ATATATATATATAAAAAATACAGCCGAAACTTAATAATCAGGAGTGCAGTCCTACTGCTTTGCTACTCAAATAGCATAATGTATGGCATAAAAATGGATAGTACTTTATTCCATGCATCCTCTATAATATTGCTCTTCTTTTCCAAAGAGAAAGGCCTTCTGTAACCCTTAAAAAGTAAAGCTTCATCTGACTTCCATTCCACACCTGTCCCTCTGGCCTTCTTTTTCTTTTTTTACTTTTCACTCTAGTCTCCTTTTTCCTTCGTGTTTTTGAGTGCTTAGCTAAAGACTTGCCCAGTTTGTTTCGATTTTGAGCTTGTCAAGGTGGAGCAAGGACTGGTATCTATTTTGTGCAAAGGTAATGCCTGGTAGATGGAACTTGATTTTTCTTCCGTTACTGGGCATTGCAGTTCAAATAGTACTTTGTCTGTGTTAAGGGTCCTGGAGTAGTGGACGGCAATGTGCATGATGTCCTGCATCATTCCTCAGTAGTCATACAGGTCTGACTGAATTTGAGCTGGATCCATGGAGTATGTTGGTAATGTTTTCCAGCGCACTTGGAAATTTAAAAGCAGAGCTGGCCTGGACTTGGTATTGCCAAGCAGTGCTGTACTGCAGCCACTGAACTCAAGGTCACTCTTTCTAAAGCCTGCTCAGTGCCCCAGTTAATCCACAACTTTGATAAAATGCCCAAGGATAATGGTGAACTCACTGTATTTACATCTATTTTAGGGATCTGAATCCGACTTAAGTGACTCTGTGATAATAATGATTCGTGAGGTGAGGATGCCCTGCAGACAGGGAAATACCAGTAGAGGCAGGGTATAAAGGAGGGCACCTGTTGTATAGGAACTACCTGGGAGCTGCAGTGAGGTGAGGACAGTGTTAAGATTTCCAGTGTCAGTTGACTAATTTTGGTGTCTGAAACACCAAACTCTAAAAGACAAACAAACAAAAAAATGTTCAGCTGAAATTTTACATGTATAGATCATAGCAAGAGCTGCTTCTTTGGTTTGGTTGTTGTTTGGGCTTTGTTTATTTGTTTCCTTTTGACAGGAAATAGTAAAGGAAATCAAGCAAATGTACTTCTTAGGGACATCAGAATCAAGGTCAAGGTTGCATTCTAAAGGATCTAGTAATCGTTTAGACATGTGGGTCCAAAAATCTAAAACCTTCATTGTGTTTTATTTATCCATCTTCCATGAGTTACAAGAAACAGAATTATACCTGTTAAATCAGATGCTTTTTTAAAAAAGATATTCTGAACTAAAAAAAATTAAATTCATTCAAAATCTTAGTGGATTTTGTATGACTTTGCTATGAGTCAGAAATCTTTGTGAAGTTCAGTTGTCTAGGCTGATGGAAAAAGATACTTCTAGAGCTTGTAGTTCCCTAGCAGTTGTACCATTCTCTTTTTATAGGCATAGAGATCTCACAGACAGTCTGTGAAATACATGTCAGCAGAACAGTGGACTCTGAAGAAATCAGAGTTGTCAGCAAAGTTTTGAATGAGAATTTACATTTTCTTTGTCATTTCTTAGGATTAGATGTTGAAACCTTGTACAGTACATTTTATGTTATGGTAAAAATTGTCCTTTCTTTCAGAGAATTAAAAATAGGGGGGTTTGTTTTATTTTATTGTTATTTATAAGCTTAGATGCCCCCTAAAATGTTTTAGCCTGGTAAGTTTAGTAACAATTGAGGGAAGTGGCAATTCTGAAGTGACAGTAATCTTGTGGTTTGAAAAAAATAATGTGTGAACACTGAAACGTGCCATAATCCTTCTGCTCTTTGTGCAGCGTTATCCTTTATAGACTGCTTGAACTCTGTGACTTGCAGTAGCTCAAACACAGTTTTCAAAGTTTTCATTGGAACTTTAGTTATTTGAAATTATTAAGATCCATTAAGTAGGATTATCTAAAAAATAGTACACCTCTACTTCTCCAGTGTGTCTTTATTCTGTGATAACATGGGATTATTTCAATCTCTGTGGTTGCATGTATTTGTATTATTAGTTAAATGTGTGTATATATGGCTGTAAATCTGTTTCCATCATTTGCACTGCTACAGTGACCCAAGCTGCAGAAGATACAGGGAATCAGGCTTTAAAATATGTATATATCTCCATGTGCATAAATATTGTACTGTTGAGGTGGACACAGAGGCAATGATTCATCCTTGTGCAGGCTCTCAGCGATAAGAAGGTGTGCCAAGTGAATGGAAAACATTTAGGTTTTTTTCAGTATCTAAATGTATTTCTAGTACTATGGTAATGATAGGATTGGTACCATTCCGATTTCCCCATCCATTACACTGATATTAAAACTTCATTAATTTACAAAAACTCTGTAGCAAATTGTATTTTTTTATTGTTTTGTTTAAATGCAGGTAGGAAAAAGGCTTGGTTAGATAAGGCCCTGTGGTATTTAAATTTCTCCAGCCGTACTGATTGTTCCTATGTGTGTATTTTACAGGGTGCGATGTCTGTGGACTCTATTACAGATCTTGACGACAATCAGTCACGACTGTTAGAGGCTCTCCAGCTCTCCTTGCCTGCAGAAGCCCAGAGCAAGAAAGAAAAGGCAAGGGACAAGAAACTAAGCCTGAACCCTATTTACAGGCAGGTTCCCCGGCTTGTAGATAGTTGCTGCCAGCATTTGGAAAAGCATGGTAAGAGTATTTCGTTTTCCCAGGAGCGGCAGATATATTTTTACTATAATATAAATAAAAAAATTATTTTGAGAAACAGGCGTGTGCTTTCACTTGCAAGGATGTCTGTGAAAGTCAGACACTTTCCCACAAATAATTACTTAGATGATATCTTCCCAAACTAAGGATCTGTGCTGCAAGCTTGCAAACTGGCCCACGCAGAATGGGGGAAGACACATTTCTTAGAGGTCATTTATCTCGTACTGGAGTGCTCAGCTCTGGAGGAAGAGCGCTTCACACCCCACAGGTTTACCCGTACCCTGAGAATGAAAGTCTGAAATGTGCCGTTCAGCCTGGAGCTGTTCTTCGCCACCAGTGGATCATAAGGTGTAAGAGCTACTTTAACTGTTTATACTACAGTGCAAGACTTAATTAGAAACGACATTTGAATACAGAGGCTCAGAGAAAGAAAAAAATTCCCGTGCTAAATTATATTAAGCTGAAAGAAGCTTTCCCCCTGTTCACTACAAGATTTGCAGGTTGGCTACTCGTTTTTTTTTTCCTGGCTTGAGTTCTCCTGACCAGCCTCAGGCTCAGGCCTGCTCTCTCTGAAGGGAATTATAAACTCCTGCCAATATTCTTCTCATGTCTTCCTGATCATCCAAACACAAACCTCCCACCAGCTTTATGTAATGCAGAAACAATAGTTAATCAAGGTATCTGTTCAACATCTCTCCCAATGTATTTTAGTCTTGTAAAGACTTTTGATGAGAATTGAAATAACTTGACCCAGCAAGACCCAGTTATCTCAAGGCCAGATAATAAACAAGCCATTAAGTAATGGTGACTGCCACACCAAATGATGCATTTGATGCCTAATTTAACTAGAAAGAAATCATTTACTGACTCTGAATGAAAGGCATTTACAGATGAGGGACTGCAATTTAAACAACAATGCTAAGCTTTCACAATACATAATTGAAAACCGTGTTGCTTACAAGTATGTGGAGGAAAACTGTGAGCCATTGTTAGCCTTTTATACAGATAAGATACCATGGCTGACAAATAAGTATGAGGATGATTAAATTTGAGATCAATGACTTCTGTCCCTTTAAGCAAGAGCATCTGAGTTTAGAGAACGTAAAAGCGCCTGAGTCAGCCAAAAAAGCCATCCATCAGAGTATCCTTTGAATACTGTGGTTTTACATCACTTGAATATCTCTCCTAAATTTTTTAATCCACTTAACACACTGTCATAACAAAGATTCTTTTCTATGCAGCATTCTTTACTGAAATGTTTGGTTTTGCATTAAAGTTCCTTTTTAAAGAAAATTTAAAACTTTTTTTTGCGTGTTTTCTAAGAGTGCACCTCATTTTTCGAACAACACAGTAATCTGAGAAAATTTGGGACAAATGTTGATGTTCTTCAATGTTCATTTTAGTCAGCCATTCACAAAACAGTCGTAAAAGAAGTTTAAATATTGCAGAAGATGGACACTATTTTGCCTTTTGGCTTTAGGGACTATAGAGGACTTTTTGGTCTAGCAACAATCTTGTAGCAACATCATTCCAGGCTCTGTGATAGACCAAGTTTCTAATTTTGAAAATACGTGTGCATAAGTCCTTTAAGCATTTACTTCAGTGGCAAATCACCTAAGAGTTTCTCAGGAATGCTTTAAAAGATCATTTTGAACATAATATGACAGAAAACGGTTATGTGATTAGCCATAAAAGCCCCTGGCCTTGTTCACCTTCCCTGTTCATGTCCCAGAGTCACAAAGGCTTGGCTTCCTGCATACCTACAGTGTAAAACAAACACTGTACGTTTGTGCGAGAACTGGCAACCAGCTTCCCAGTTTTGCCCAATACAAATATCTCTGTCTCAGATGATTCCTTGCCAGTGTTTCTGGGTTCACTAAATGTTACTACATCAATGTAGTTTTCCCTTAAACGAAGATAGAAGAATATTTGAAGAGAGCTGTCATATTGAGACTAAAAACTAAAAGGCAGAATCCTAGCTGAATTTATCTGTTGAAAATCTGCAGCTCCAAACACCACTGCGAAGCTGCACATCTCTAGTAGCAAGCGTCACCTCATGGATGTCAAAAGGCATTTGTTTTGCAAGGTTATTTTATATGACCTGTATGTTAGCAGAGAAAATGTTGCAGACTAGCCATTGTTAGACCATAAACTTTTCAAAGCTTAAAGGCAGATAATTCCATCCTTTTTGCAAAAAAATGTCTAACTCTGTGAAATAATATTGTGTACACAACTGCCTAAGTCTCTTAAGATTTCCACTCACATTCCCATTGCTAACGACCACAATTACCTCTAAGGTGACATTTACTCTCAAATTTTTCAGTTTCTGTTACTTGGCAAAGTATGTCCTTTCAACAACCGTGTTGTTATTTGTTTGATATTCTGATAGTATCTACATGGCTGGAAGAAGGTTTGAACTGATTTCTTATGGAATAGCAGGCAACACCTTTCTCCAAATGGCTTTAAGCCTAAATGACACAAGAGGCTTATCTTCGGCACTTTGCCTGAAGTAGTACAGTAGTATTTCTTTATGCTTTCTCTCTATATGGTAGTTGCTTCTACCCTATAAACTGCACACAACTCCCAGGTAGAATTTTTCCCTCTTAATCTGCCCTCTTAATGCTGATGTCCTTTTGAAGGAAACTCAGTTTGTCTTAACAGGCACTATAGAGCCAGAGGGTAACCCCAAACACTAACTGCTTCCTATATCCAAAGACACAGCTCAATGCCCAAGTATTCGATTATTTCTTTGCCTGCTTCCTTTGATGTCGGTCCTGGGAGTGCCACTTCCCAATGCTGACCAGTGCCTCCCTCTCTTCATACCTCTGTTTCTCATGGAGTAGCAGTGACACTACCAAAATAGCATCACAAGAAATATCATGGAGATGTCATTTTTCAGGTTAGGTGATGTGAGGTCCTTAAAAATTAGAGTGGATGGCTTCTTAATCCAAGACAACTGAGTCTTGCCTCAGTGTGGTAAGTACAAGTTGGTAAAGAAATACATTATGGGTTTATTTATTCTTTTCAGCACACATTTAGCCCAGATTGCTTTGGTTCAATGCAGTTTTCAGCAGAAAATTAAACAATAAAACAGTTGTCTGATGTGCTATACTTGCAGGTCTCCAGACAGTAGGAATATTCAGAGTTGGAAGCTCAAAAAAGAGAGTTAGACAGGTGAGTAGATATGGATAGAGTTCTCATCAGCTATGATACAAAGAAACCTGATTCCTGTTAAGTGATTTCCTCCCTGTCTGTCACCTGGTGAAATTCAGGCTTTTTTTTTTTTTTGTCATAGTTCATAACAGACCATTTCCAGTCATCATTTACATCTGGTAAAATCCATGTCAGGTTCTCAACAGTTAGCAACCTCTGTATGTTTTGCTCTGCAGAAGTAGCGCAGGCTTGGAGATTCAAATAGGCTGCAGTGATGAAATTTTCCAAAGGTTACACTGAAGAGAAAAAAAAATCTTGGCTGCTAGTTTCATTTCAGAAACAGCTGAAGCTCCCAAAGTAAACCCAAACTGTAAATCTTTTTTTGAAAACTCACAGTATGAGAAAATATGCAATTACAGAACAATCTCTTTGACCCTCAAATTGCTGCTTCCAGGTTTCACCTTTCTTTTACCCTTGTTAAACTTGGAAGTCAAAGCAGACCCATCCAACTCTAGTCTCGGCCAATTGTTGAAAAAGCAAAGATAGTGTACAATTAGGTTCCAGAGACAAAGTCAGAAGTCAGTGGACTCATCATTATTCCCAGAAGCTGGGAATGCACGTTGAACTTGACCAGTACAGAATAGCACTTGATAGTTGCACGATATTTAGGGAAGGGATAAAAATTTACAGGAAAATACCTCTGCCAGGAAGCGTAAGACCAAAAAGATCAAGTAGAAAAAATGTGAAAGAAAGCTTGACTGCATCTGATCCCAGAAATAATAGTTCTTTGTTGCAGAAACTATACAGTGTGATGTTTGGCACTCTGACATTTGAATAGCTACACCACTTTGATTCTGGCTGGTAGGGCAGTATAGCCTACTAATTTGTAGCTTATTCTCTAGCAGTTTCTATTGCTGGGTGGCTGGTATAACACAAAGTTAAAACATTAATGATCTGCAGAGGCAGTTGTCAGATCAGCACTGAACCAGATAAGTATTGAAAATTAAGTTGCCTGTCATTTCCACTACAAGCTTCAATGTCAAAGCATATGTAATCATTCGGGGGTGAGTACAACTGCATCATACCTCTGGGAAAAAAGCAAAGGGCTTAGACCATTTACTTGTAAAAACTAAACCTTACTTCTGACATCAGTGACCTTCACCAGTTTTTCTTTTACTGTGTTTTGAAAAGCTGAGGAAATCAAGATATTTGGATGTTTACGTATTCTATTACATTGCCTAATTTACTGAAGTAGGTGAACTAATATATTTCATTAAACAACATGGAAGCATCAGCCTGGCTGTTGCAGTTACAATAATAAATGCTGTCAACACGAACACATGGGAAAGTCTGGATTCAATTAAAATTCCACTCATTTTCTGAACCATGGAAAGCCAAACCCAGTACTTAGATTTTGGTGTGCTTTTGCAGCTGTTCATTAGTTTTTCCTGTGTAGAAAGTAAGTAGGCATGGTTTTGTTTCCCTTCCTCCTGCAGTTAGAAAATGTCCCACTTTAATTGCAGTTTGTTGCAATAAATACATAAGTAAATGCACATGTCTGTGGGGGTTTTGGTTGGTGAGCAGAAAGATAAAATCTAGAACAAGTGCATCTTGCGTCTACAAACCACCCCCTTCAGCCCCATGGAGAAAGACCCTGGAGTCCAAGTGGACAGTGAGTTGTCCATGGGACACCAGTGTGCCCCTGTGACCAAGAGGGCCAAGGGGATCCTGGGGTGCATTAAGAAAAGTGTGTCCAGCAGGTCTAGGGAGGTTCTCCTCCCCCTCTACTCCGCCCTGGTGAGACCACACCTGGAACACTGTGTCCAGTTTTGGGCTCACCAATTTGAGAGAGACAGGGACCTACTGGAGAGAGTCCAACGGAGAGCTACGAGGATGATGAAGGAACTTGAACATCTCTCCTGTGAAGAGAGACTGAGAGAACTAGGGCTGTTTAGCGTTGAAAGGAGACAACTGAGAGAGGATCTTATTAATGTATAAAAATATCTGAGAGGTGGGTGTCAAGGGGAAGGAGACAATCTCTTTTCAGTGGTGCCCAGCAATAGAACAAGAAATAATGGGTTTAAGTGAGAACATAGGAAGTTCCACCTCAACACGAGGAGAAACTTCTTTACTGTGAGGGTGACAGAGCCCTGGCACAGGCTGCCCAGAGAGGTTGTGGAGTCTCCTTCTCTGGAGACTTTCAAAACCCACGTGGACACGTTCCTGTGTGGCTGCCCTAGGGGATCCTGCTCTGGCAGGGGGGTTGGACAAGATGATCTCTAGAGGTCTCTTCCAACCCCAAACATTCTATGATTCTGTGATTTTATGTAGGACAAAGATTCCTGAGCTTGTGTTGACTCAGGGTGGTAGGTCTGATACATTGGGATGCCAGGTACCCACTTTTGCCCCAAAACTGGGTGCTTGAGCAGAGCATTGTTGCCGCGCATGGGGTGGGTAGCCCTGTGTGCTAGGCCAGACCTTGAAGTTGAAGAGTGACATGGCTGGAGCTCTGTTCTCCCATGCCCTCCCCCAGCACGAGTGTCTTCAGCTCTCACATCTTAAGCTCCAGTGGATGTTGGTGGTTCACCAAGTGTGTTTTCCAAAAGTCTGGAAGTATTCCCTGTGAAGGAAGTCTGAGACATGTAAAGTTTAAACTTAAAAATATACAGGTTTTAACAGCCATGATACCTGGGCTTGAAATATGGCCATGTGTCACCAGTGACTGTCTGATACTGCGCTAATTAGGGCATCTCTGTAGGCCTTACAGGATATCAAATCAGGAGTGATATATTCAACACTGTAACAGCAATTTATGGTTTAGACAGCTATTTGGGGTGTCTGAATTCCTGGTGCAGTGCTAATCTATTTCCTCAGCTACTTTTGGGTAATAAATGCAGAAGCAATCTTAAAATAATCATAGAATCATTAAGGTTGGAAAAGACCTCTATGAGGTCCAACCACCAACCCAACACTTCCATGACCACTAAACCATGTCATGAAGTGCCACATATACATGTTTTTTGAACACCTACAGGGCTGATGACTTCACCACTTACATGGGCATCTTGTTCCAATACTTCACCACGTTTTCATTAAGAAATTTTTCCTAAATATCTAATCTAGACCTCGCCTGGCACCACTTGAGCCCATTTCCTCTCGTCCTGTCACTAGTAACGTGGGAGAAGAGACCAATCCCACCTCACTGCAACCTCCTTTCAGGTAGTTGTAGAGAGCAATAAAGTCTCCCCTGAGCCTCATCTTCTCCAGACTAAATCCCAGTTCCCTCAGCCGTTTCTCATAAGATGTGCTCTTCAGACCCCTCACCAGCTTTGTTGCCCTTCTTTGGACATGCTCCAGCACTTCAGTGTCTTTCTTATACTGTGGTGCCCCAAACTGAACACAGTGCTCCAAGTACAGGCTCACCAGTGCCTAGTGCAGTGGCATGATTACTTCCCTATTCCCAGTGGGGGAAGTATTTTTGATACAGGCCAAGATGGAGATGATAACTTAGGGTGCTCCAGAAATCAGTGATGCTCATAAAAGTATTTTTGATACAGGCCAAGATGGAGATAACTTAGGGTGCTCCAGAAATCAGTGACGCTCATAATGGTATTAGCTTACTGTTTGGTAACTCCCTATTGATAACCACATAGTGAATATAACTAGATTAGGAAGACAGAACAAGATGTGTGTGGACAAATACCATGAAGTCTTAGTGGACCTGGCTGCTTATTGCTTATGCCTAAATATAGTCTTAAATCACAAGAAAAATACGAGTTTGGTGAATATTAACACTGTCTTATTCTTATTGTTTTTGTCAAAAAATAGAAGTGTTATGAAGTGCAATTTTAGTCTTTCTGGTCCTAAAATCTAGGGATAATGCAGTAATGTGGTATAAGAAAGCCTTTCTTGCAGTTTTCTTTATTCTCCTTGGTGTCTGCCCTTGCTATTAATCTTACATTTCTGAAAATATTTTATTTACTTGGGTACATTTTTTCGTAATAGACTGTAATATATATTAACAGGAAATAAATAATTGTATTTTGTTACCAGTCTAGTACAAACTTTAAGTTATATATCATGGAATAAACAAAAACTAGTAATTTCCAATCTGGAAAGTGAAAATGAGTAAATCTACATCCTAAAAGGCTTTCTGTGTTGGGTTGTACTAATTGGGACAATAAGTGACTTGTTTTGTGTGATGATCTTTTTTTCAGTTACGCGAAGAGTTTGACCGGGGCATAGATGTTGTACTAGATGAAGAGCACAGCATTCATGATGTTGCTGCTTTGTTAAAGGAATTTCTGCGTGACATGCCTGACCCCCTTCTCACCAGAGAACTTTATACACCTTTCATCAACACTCTCTGTGAGCTCTACAGCATCTTGATTTACCAATTTTCAAAAGCTTACCTGTCTGAATTCTTCAGTCTCTACTAACTGTATTCTTTTGTTCCTATGTTTTAGTACTCTAGCCTTGATTTGCTCCAGATATTTGTATAGTATAAATTTGCTGAGGTCTCTTCTTGGTTTTCATATTGTGTAAGTATAGCTAGCCCAGAAAACTAGAGCAACAAAGATTTCACTTATTATACCTATTTTTACATTTGTATGTAGGATGTGATTCATGTTATCTGTTAAATCCTTTTTTTTTTCAGCAGTAGCATATGACAGACTCTCATTTGAATCCTGGTATATTAGCACCATTGATGCTTTTAACTTCTAGAGCTGTTTACTGACCAAAATTCCAGACTGCCTTCAAAAAACTAGCTTCAGAAGTTCCAGTTTCTTCATAGTTAATGGGCCTCAAAGCCATCATATTAAGGAATCCCAAATGTGTTGCCTAAGACCTGAGTGCAGACTCACACATACGGGAAAAAAGTAAAATTGAACCCTTAAGCTTAAGCAGTTGCCCGATATCCTGATATGTGTTCTTTGGACTCTTTCTAGCCCTCGTGTCTGAGATCCTGCTTCTTTCCCACCTTTGTCACTGGCTACCACTGCATTTTAAATGGTTAAAGTGATAGTAGTTTTAGAATGTCCTTTATATGTCTGGTTGTTTTTCTGTTCTCTCAGTAACTCTGCAAGATGCAAAATTGTAAGAAAACCTATTTAAAATGGCTAAAGCATAAACTTGTCTGGAATGCTTCCCAATGGTGCCCTATATATACCAAAAACTGTACCTAAATGAATGAAATAGAAAAGGAAACAGGACTTCTGTGTCCAGTGACAGTGGTGCAGTGTGCAACATGGATTTGGCTCTCTTATAGGCTGAGAAAAGATCCTATGAACCTGTGAGCAAAAAGTTGACCAACCAAGGCAAAAATCCTATAACAGTATTTGTTATGCTTTTTATATTTCCTTGGAGTTTTCTCTTTTTCTTCTGACACTGTAAGTAAAATGATACTTAAACAAAGCTATGTTACACCTTTCTTTGGGCTAGGAACAGTATATTCTGGTTTTAGGTTAGTTGGAGTGATTTTCTTAGAATGTACTTTTTTCCCTCTTAGTATTAGAGCCAGATGAGCAGCTAAGCACCTTACAGCTTCTCATTTATCTTCTACCTCCCTGTAACTGCGATACCCTACACCGGCTGTTGCAGTTCCTTTCCACCGTGGCTGGCCATGCAGAAGACACCACAGACAAAGATGGCCAGGAGGTAAGTCCTGGTCACGTATGTCCTTTGACTTTGCTTAATTCATGATCTGAAAGAAGATCTTTAAAGCTGTGAAAGAAACACAGTGGTGACATACCCCTGAAAGACAGGAAAGATTTCATATTCACCCCTGAAAGCTGGGAAAGATTTCATATTCTTGCCTGCACATTTGCCGTTCAGTTGTTTACTGTTGTTCTTCAGGCTGTGAAAGTCTAATTTTTATATGATTTAATCAGTTAAGCACCTACCACTTCCTTTGGAAGACTGACGGCGTAATCAACCTTGTTGTTAAGAATATCTGTTGTTATCCATCCTTCTTCTTTTCCCCCTCCACCCCGTTTTATCCTATTATATTCTATGAAAAAATACACAGAAAACTGTCAGGCATTCAAGAGTATGCTTTTTCATTCTCTGTTGTTGCTTTCTTATATGGCCTTTGGACACAGCAGTTCACTTCTTGGTTCTCTTAGCTTCCTTGTGTACACTGGGTAGTGAGGATTAAAAAATAAAGGACAGGAGCTCCAGCTGTGTCCTTGCAACTGGCAGTCCTAGTCGCTAGTTGGAGTCAGGGTCCCTCTCTGCCTGTTTTCCTTCTGGCCTCCTTACTGTTGCATGCTGGACCAAATTCAGTGGAGAGGCTGGAGTGTACCCAGCCCACAGAGACTGCTCTGCGGAAGGTGGCAGCTCTGTTAACTTTGAAGGAGATGGATACCGTCTGCCACTGCTTGACAAATTTGTACCAGTTTATCTGTGGGAAGGATATCTCTGTCCTCTGAACTGCGGTAGAGACAACTTCTGAGACTCTTCTGAAACTCCTAGAGAATTTTATCTTCCAGATGGAAAACCCAGCTGACTTATGTCAAATTTTAACACTTTTTGCAGTCATCCGGTTTTGACAGTTGGCACTTTGAGACTGAGTTTTGCCGAATTTTGTGCCTCAGGTCCTAACTTACAGTGTGCTGTATATGACTTCGAGGCCTATTTAATTTTATAAATCCACTTTAAATGCTATTATTTTTGTCCTCAGCAAGGAACTGATAAAAAACTACACCACTGTGATGGAAAACACAGCCTGTAACAATTCTACTGTGCTTAAAAACATGTATAACCCAGATAAGGTCATGGTCCCCTTGGTCCTGCAAAGAGTTCTCTGTTGGTTCAGGAATGTTACCAAGAGGATCCTGTTGCAGGGCTCGAGGATGCTGATTAAGAGAGTTGGTTTGGCCCAACGGTTGTGTTAAAGGCATTTTCATTCCCCTTAACAGCACACCAGCTCTGCTACAGGTATTTTGGCAAGGCAAATTTATGTAAGCCATCTTGGCAATATTGTAAGCTTCAGGAATATTACATGCAATTGAATACCTTTTATAGATAATACAGCATTCTGCTCACAATTATTTAAGCTATTCATGACTAATCAAGTGAATACAAGCATACAGGGCAGGAGAAGGTATTTTATCAGACTGTTTGCTATCACTGGATGGAAAACAGCCAAGCTTTGGCACACAGGCCCTCTTCACAGTTTCTTTCAAAAGCCCTTCTCTCACGAAGATGGATGACTGGCTTCATTAAAATTGCCCCTTCAGTTAATTTCAGTGGATGTGTTTACAAGGTGTTTCAAGGGATGCCCTGAGGCTGCTGTTAAGAGAAGACTCCCGGTTTGTACAAACAGCCTGCACATGCAGATCCAGGCAGAGCCAGAGGCTGCCCCTGGCACACACGAGGCATGGCTGTCCATGCCTGTGCATCCTTGGTGGCTCAGTGCTCTGACAGTTTTTCAAAAGCAGGTCACCCGAAAAACAGCTGGGTGCACAGGGGTGCGCAAACAAGGGAGTGTGCTGTACTCACAGTCATGCTGGGATGAGTCTCTAAAGAAAAATCCGATGTGCTTTTTACCGACTGCCCATGCACCTCCTTAGTGCAGATGCATTTCCGAGATTACACAGTGGTCCCACAGATAAAAGGAGAAGCTCTTTTTGCTATTGTTTCTGTGCTGTCTAGTTGAGCTCTATAAAAAATAAACCAGGTGTAGTCAGTGCACAATTTTAAGTTTGACTACAGTCTTCAAGGAATGAGCAACTGCCAAAAAAATAATTAAGAAAATTAAATACTACTTTGAAAAGATTTGTTTCATAACACTGATTTATTGAAATGCTGTTTTTACTGACTCTTTTTGGTGCATCTTGTTGTCCTTTAAAAAATTAACTAGTTAAATGTAACTGCAAGGAGTGAAAAGTAGCTCTCATAGTATTTTTTCATTCTTTATAAAAAGCCAGCAAGAAATAGTGGGTCAACAGCTGAAATTCACTTACAGTCTTACATAGGCAAACTGCTGACATCTTCTTCTGTGTTCTCAGAATAGCAACCAAGTGGAGACATAAAGAGGAAGCACATGACCTCTGTTTTTTGCTCTGTTAAAAGCATAGAAGGGGAGAAAACCAGTCTTATCACAAATATGACAATGGAAATTTTGTTTTAATAACCTATATGATATATTTTTTCAGATAATTTCTGTCTAGCATGTATTCCTAGCCTTCTCTTTCCTCAAAAATCAGGTTACTACTGCTTCTTTGAGCACAGTTGCAAAAGTAGGAAAAAAGTAAAAAAAAACCAAAGCAACACAAGCCAAACCAAAAAAAAAATACACCTGAGAAGTAAATATTTGGCATGTTCTAGGAAACAAGCAACAAGAGAGGAAAATATTAATAAAAATAATGAGCAAACTCCTTAATTATTTAAGCTGTTGAAATGTGGAACAGGCTTTTTTTCCTCACTGCATCTGTTTCAAATCATGAGTGCTACTTGAGAATGCTAACAGTTTTTGGTATTTAGTCCTAAGAGGCAGTAATAGGCTGAAATGGTGAAGTAGGAGGGAGATTTCCCCGAGTTCAGAAGTATGCTGCTGCCAAGCTTCCAGGGGGTTAAGGGCAGGCAGCACTTCCACTTTCTACTCCTCCAATCCATTTGAAAATATATCCAGAAAGTCCTCAGTGTTGTTGCAGAGGTGTCCTAACAAGGTTTTCAACATTTCTAAAGAATTTTTTTATTTGAATAGCACTCAGTTTTGGTTATGATGAATGAAGCACCTGCCAAATCAGGAGAGAGTGTGTCTGTGGATGTGGGTTTCTGTATAGATGTGTGTGTATACGTATCTGTATGTACACATACATATGTATATACTTACATACACATTATAGTCTTGGAGACCTCACCTGATTCATATTCTTTTTTCTAGATTACTGGGAACAAAATGACATCACTTAACCTGGCTACCATCTTTGGCCCTAATTTGTTGCACAAGCAGAAATCTACAGACAAAGAGTTCTCAGTTCAGAGCTCAGCTCGAGCTGAAGAGAGTACTGCTATCATCGCTGTCGTACAAAAGATGATTGAAAACTATGAAGCCCTTTTCATGGTAGGTGGATGCTTCTTTTTGTTACTCCTGTGCATTTTAAAGTTAAGTGAGGAAATACCTGACTGGCATTCAAGTAGACTAAGATGTAATAAACTGTGGAAGCTACATTAAATTAGGGTCAGTTATAGGTAGAAGAAGCAGTCTTCTATCAAGGAAAATGCTTTGTGGTAAGCAACAGTATTAAAAATGTTTGCTTATATCTTCTCTGGAATGGTTGTAGACATAAAAATACCTTCCTTAGAAGATACCTCTCTGTGGAAATGATGGGGTTGGCTATTCAGTTGTATACCAAACAACACACCAACATTGCTTGTTAGTTTTGAAGAGAGAACTGAAAATGACCTTTCATCTCTCAGTTTTGGAAGACAGGGAACTAATTTTTCTGCAGGGGTTAAGAGGTCCTTGGTTAATTTAAGGAACAGCCTCTCTACTAAAGACTTTCTTATTGGTTGAATAGGGAGGAAGGACAAAGGTTTTCTCATTTGTCAGTTAGATAAGAGGATTAAAGCATAAATCTGTGTAGTTCCTGATTTCCTTTCTGTTCTCTTGCTGAAGCAAGGAAGTTCTTCATAAATGGGATGATGGCCTTGGACTTGGACATGCTGTGTACTTAAGATGCTGCTTAGTTAAACCGCATTTCTCATGCCTAACAGTTTCCTGGACAGTTCATTCTGTGGCTTTGCCTTTGCCTCTTTTCGTCTACAAAATTATCAGTCTTCTCAGTTGTGCCTGAGAGAGATCTGCTGTGGGGTAGCAGAGGCCAGTCAGACCTAGTGGCGTGCACCATCCTGTCTTGGTTGTAGTAGGCATACATGTCTTAACAAAACCAGTGGTCTTAAAATGGTGAAAATGCCTTCAGTTGTTGTGTCTTGAAGCAAAGCAGCACTTCATGTTATAGTGAGGAGGTCAAAGCAAGAGGAACAACACTCTGGAAACCTCCTTCAGTGCTCCAGCAAAGCTGGGTGCTGGATACCTTGATGGGAGAGGATGGACAAGCCTGGGCTGTGGGCACGTGGGACTAATGGCCACATAGTACTGTAAGGGGAAGGTGTCTACTGGATTTCGACAGAGAGGAGCTTGAGAAAGCAGTCACAAGCCCTACCTATCAGTCTTTGCCTCAGATGAACTTTTTTGTGGTTTTCTCATCTTTTCCATCACACTGTATTGCCTTTCATTACATCCTTTGCTTTATTTTTGTTCTTGTTCCAGTGAAACACTTGGTAATTTTTTTTTTCCTCGTAATGTTTTTCACAGGTTGGGGAAACTTTAGGTGCAATTTTTCCTTCCACAGCAGGAAAATAAAATGACAGAACTGCACTTTTGTGCAAAGGTCTACTGGCCCACAGTATGGATAGCACTAGCAGACTTAAATTAATACTTGAATAAGACTACATGCAACACTTGAAGTTTTCTTATTGTTGTTTCTCTTTAAGAACATTTTATGGCACAACCACATCTCAGTACATAATACTTAGGCGCACATTCCAACTTTCAGTGTGGAAAGGGTGGAGCTTACGGTTAGACTAACCTACATAAGGTATCTTTCAATTGTGACGGATTTATTCCTTTATCTCTTCAGTGCTTGCATTTTCATCTGAAGGTTAAACAAACTGTGGGGAAAAAAAGGCTCTCTCTTTTTTTTTTTTTTCCACCAGAGCAGCTTAGCAGACTGTGGAGGGAGATTAGAATTAGATTTCAAAATGAGAGGCTAGCTGCATGTGAGAGAAAGATAAACCTATCTCAGATGCGATCCTGAAAGCTGAAATGCATTGATGTGAAATTTATAGAAAAGTCTAACAGCTGAGCATCTCTGGGTACTTTCACTCTTCACATTGCTCTAGTTTAACCAACAATACGACACTTCTGCCTGTTTTCTAGAGTAATGGCTAGACTCACACATGATACTTGATCTGTAGGATTGTGTCAGATTGCTCAGTTAGTGTTTTATGAAGCTTCTACGAGCGTTTACTTTTGTATTTTTCATATTTTCTTCAGCAGCATGGAGAGAGTTTGTATTCTGAAGATCATCAGCCCAGTGCATCATTTGGTGATAGATGCATTGAAAGGAAAAAACTCATACATATAATTGTAATAAAACTCTGATCGTTTTAAATCAGGCAGCAGCAATTCGTTTTTCCAAACGAGTGGGGCCAAACCAGAACGGCTGATTATACTTGACATTTATGCTATTTAATAAAAACATCTGGAGCATTTAGCTACAGCTATAACCTAGTGTTTTGCTGCTAAGGTGTTTTTGTGTTTGTTGTTTTGTTTCTGTTACTTCTGCATATAGGGAAGTTCTAAAACTCTTCTTGGCTTCAGCATTGAAATAGGAACAACATTTGTGAAATAAAACCTAGGAAATGGGGATGTGTTATTGCACCCAGACCACAATGTCAGAGTGATTCTGATGTGTTGGTGGACCAGGAAGGTTTTGTTTGTCAGAACAACCCTGGATCCTGGGGACTGTTTTTATTAAGCAATTACCATCGACATCAGTAATATGCAGACTTCTGGATTTCGTATAGAAGATGGATTCTGGCCTAGCTTCATTGATGTTAAAGCCATTCATATTCCTTTCTTATCTGTTTGAATGAGTCTTAGGGATGTATTAAAATGTTTTACGGGAATGTACAAAAGATTCTTCTTTACCAGCCTCTGAGCTATGCCCAGCAATTGAATGTTGGGAAGCACAACTCAGCTGCGCTTTGTCTCATTGGCTTGGACTTGGCCTGGAGGATGGAGAAGAGAAGCTTGGTTGTGCGTTTTCAAGTTCTCACCCATGTACTCAGCCCCAACTGACAGTTAAACAACTGATTCAGTGACAGTTATTTCAGCTCTATATCATCTTCCTGAGATACCAGTGTGGTAGGTGTCTGTAAGTTAATAGTTACATGCATACCATTTCTATTCTTGCAAGTTAGTTAATTAAACTGAAGTAAGTTGCCACACAGGAGAAGTCTCAAACCCAGTAGATTATTAGCAAGGAGACCATCAATACCAATCCATTTGAAGGATCATAAATTAATATGCACTCATTCACTGAGGTAAAAGTCCTATAATTCAATAGAACTGTTAATTTTTGATTTTGCAGATGCTTTCAGTTGTAAATGAACTTCCTATTGGAACTTTTTCTGAATCATTTTTATTTTTATAATTTTTAAAAATGGAAACCAAATGTTTGTTTTTCTGACAAAGTCATCTCAGTAGATTCTTGTGAGTTTATCAACTTGATATAAAGCTGAATAGTAAGTTACATGCAGAAAGGCATGGATTCTGCTTTACCCTCAAACTTTATCTGCAGTTTATTTTGCTGTATATGAAAGCTGTCTAAACAGAGAAGTAGAGCACACCAGGTTTCCCAAAATGTGTTTCTATAAAGAGAAGATAATTTATTTTAAGACTGGTATATCAATCACCATCAGTAAGATATTTTTCCAGCTTAGAGGCTAAATATAATTTTTTAAAAAGGAATATGTGATCACACAAGTTTTTCATAGGGATTTTGGATCAATTTGAAATAAATGATGCATATCTTCATTTTTTTTGCAAATTGTTTTCTTTTTTAAAGAAACATGCCTTTTCTGTAACTTGATTCCCTGAATACCTCCCAGACTGAGATATTCCCCTAAGGAATCTATTAGTAATTTTATTCTTATTTCCCAGGAAATGTCAGGGAGAACAAATGGCCCATGCATTGCAACCTGAAGGTCAAGAGATTCAGGCTCTGACAAATTGAGTCCAGAAGCATACTGCACAGTTGATGACCCCTTGCTGAGATTGTCTTGCCTCCAGCTCCATCCGTCATGGGTGAACCTGGGCTGTTAGTTCAAGTTTCTCAGACAGTTTCATCTGCTACAGTGCGGTTGAGTTGAATGTTCCACTGTGATGTGGACAAACTCACTTAAGGATGGATAAGACTCATGTAGAATGCACTTGGAAGCACAGAGTTCACTTGGGCAGTTTTTGGATTTCCACTCCTGCTACGTGCCCAGAAGATGTTGCTATATCCTGCAGCAGCTGAAGCTATCAAATGTTTTGAATGTTCATCTCCATGTAAAATGTACTAGAGAGAGTTAGCCAGCCAGAAACCCAAACTCCAAAGAAGATGACACAAATTATAGTTGAGTCTGTTGCTACCACCCAAAGAGCGGAGTGGCTGGGGATCTAACAGGACTCACTTGTAAACCTGAGTTATGGACAACAGAACTCTGTAATTACTCAGGTTCTGACAGAGCAGAAGCAGGAATTTAAAGGCTTCTACATCTCAAGATTTGGCCATAAGGATACCTTAATATTAAATGTTTGTAAGGCTTCATTTAGAAAAATGTTGACCTTTGGCAGCTCTCACTGAAATGAAGCGATTGAAGAATTTCATTGACGGAATAGTTGCCATGAAATTCCCTATGAGAAAGTGATAAGTTAAGTGCCGCAGAACACGTGAGGAAACAGTCTTCCTCCCGTGTAATTACATTTCACATTGTTAAAAAAGAAGTAGAGTCACTCGGAATGGAAATTTTTAAATGTCCCCCAGTCTTTGAATGGGGATGTAAGGTGAGGACCTTAAACTCGAGCTTTTGAGATTGCAATATATGAGTAATCCCACTGTTATTATCAGATATAATACCCAACTGGATACCTATAGACTGTTGAACAGTAATCAGCATTTGGTATTGTACAAAGTGATCTTCAGTCCTGCTTCACCTATTGTTACGTGAAATTTCTCTTTTAAGTGGAAGCTTCTGAGTATTTATTTTATATGCTTTCTGTAAATGTGCTTGGTCTTTCAGATTAGGCATAGCACCAAAATTAATTTGTGAAATTAATTATGTGAAATTAATGTGTGAAACAACATGAATCTCTACTTTTTGTTTTCTTCATAGGTTTCCCCTGACCTACAGAATGAAGTGCTTATTAGCCTATTAGAGACTGACCCAGATGTTGTGGACTATTTGCTGAGGAGGAAAGCTTCCCAGTCATCGTGAGTAATCTGTTTTTTTCATCATCCCCGTTTCTGCTGGGAATTTCTGTCTCCCGCTGGAAGTGTTCAAAAGGTTCTAGTTTTCCACATCTCTTCTGCACTATCTACAGTGGAGTAGAAGTATCCTCCCCATTACACAGACTCTGCCAAAGAAGTTATGACACTTGTACAGTGTTTTCTAAAGACAAATCTTGTTTCTCGATTCAGAGGAAAGATTGCGTTCCGCTGCAGAGAACTGAGTGACATGTACATAAAAATATTCAGTGCACTATTATCTGACAGGATGTATTCTAGGGACTGCTGGTTCGTGTCCTGGGTTTGTGGTAGTCTTCAGTAACAGGAGGCGTGTATTACACGATCTTTGAAACACACCCTAGAGTGCCTTCACACAATCACAGCTAGCCGTTTTACCAGTTTGTTGTTTTTTTCCTATTGTGTACACATAGGACGCTGTAACCAAGTCAACTGCCATAACAGCAGGTTTATGGCAACTCTTTGGATATTATTTATTTGTATGCTGTATGAAAGATCTGAAGAGAAAAAAAAAATCACACCAGTCACTATTGCAGTTAGATGCATAACATATACCAACTTTGTGTAAGGTGTATATATGCCTACACCTGTGTGCCTTAATCCTATGATGTACATTCGGATTTACAGGATTCCTGACTTTCTCATGGGACACAGTCATTGCCTTTGTTCTAGTGGATCCCAGTAAGTCAGACCCCAAAATCACAAAATTTAACAGGCTTGCTTTACGTAGTTTATAAGAGGTTTCCTAGAGTGTAAACTCTCTGGGACAGATTGGGCTTTGTCTTCCCATGTGTATGGAAAGTGCCTAGTGCATTCAGAATGTAATTAAAATTGAATTTGTACAGTCAACTATGATTTTTTTCCTCTCACTCTGAACTTTGTGTAGTTGGAGGTAATATAATATTGTGCCTGGCTTTAAAGGAAGAGGTATAAATGAAATAGTATAATTAACACATGGAGGAAAAGGCTTTCTTTAATTACAGAAATCAAAACCAAAAAATATAGGAAGAATATATTGTGCTGAAAAGGATTTTATTAGTTTGTTGACTTAACCACATGAACACATAACATCCAGTAGCAAATTAACACAGATCATCTATTTTGTGGTAATTGTTTCTGGGTGTTTTCTTAGTCTACCACAGACATGAAATAATTTCAGTTAGTTTATGCCTGAATGACAAGTAACCAAGTGTACATTTAGATCACAATAAATTCAGGATAATTAGAGGTACGCTAGCTGTCTTTTACACTTGTTCACCAAAAGCCAAGACCACAATTAAGAAAGACGCTGCAAATCACATCATGTTGGTGAAGTCTGTGGAGACTTCTTTCTTTAAGCCCTCAGTTTGGAATGATTGTAATATTTCTAACCCAAGATAATAAAAACCTTCATGCTGGATTTCACCGTCTGTATAATATAAAGACATAACATTGTATCTCACATGTGGCTACAGATATATGGGTTGAGCATAAATTTGCCACCAATCATTGTGGATGTGACAAATTATTGTTAGAGCCTGTTTCCTTTAAGTCAATTGACCTTCCCTTGAGCTTCCTTACTTTTCAGCCAGCATGCACACGTACAGGAGAAAATGGATATTTCGTGCACAGCTGGTCACAGCTGACAAAAGGGATTTTGTAAAAAAGGTTACAAAACCAAATAGGAACATATGGCTTACTCTGGTACCAATTTATTTTCAGTAATGGGCAGATGAAGTATCACTGAGATAGGAAAAACTTACTATCTGTCATTTTTCTTCTACTCTGCTATCATGTAAGTGATTTATTCTTAATGTTAATGAGATATATTTTCACTGTGACTGCAACTTCTTGGCTAAGATATTCCAGGCAATTAGAGAGAATGTTGCTTAGTGTTATTGCTAGGAGTGTGATGCTCTTAAGAGATTAATCTATTTCAGAATGTAATCTCAATTTTTAGGCTACATATTTGTTGTTTATTTTTCCTATAAGAAATGTGAGGCAGCAGACAACAAGGAGATGTTTGGTAAAAATGATTTGATAAAAATGAGCCTCCAAAATATGTCGTTACTACTCTTGGAAATTTCATGGTCGTATATTCGGGATCCAAATTTGGTTCTGTGTAACAGAAAACTTTACATATTCTTGGGACAGTCTTCATCAGAAAAGCTAGTTGGCTGCATAATGTAGAGTATGGAATCACCTTCAAGACTTTAATGTCATGTTAAGATCCTGCTTCTGCAATTGTCCTCACATCTCTCTTTCTGATGTCACTACAAATCTTTTCTTGGTTCTGATCTAGCAGAGAGAACACACTCTCTTTTCCTCCGCAGAGGAGGACAAATCAGATGTTCCTCATCTTTCAGTTCTCTTAAGAGCTGAGCATCGTGAATGGTGTTTCAGGGAGTTTATGGAAGTCATTCATGGTAGAACACTAATTACCATTTTCAGCAATTATGAAATGTGCTTTCGTGGATGACTTCCCAACATTTTGTATGTTGGCTTTGTGACAATGGAATTTGGAGGTTCCGGCTGTAAGATGAAGCATCTTTAACACAAAAATAAAATGTGTTTCTTACGATTATTTATTGCTTACCATGTTTAATAGTCCTTTTAGAGTAAATGAGCTTCCAAGTTACAGAATTTTTGAGTGGTTTTGGGTGGTGATGATGGGTTTTAATCCATCCTTCATACAAAGATGAAGCCCTATATTAGGCCATGCAGTATGTATAAATAATTTTCAAAGCTGTAGAGGCTCCCTGAATCATTGAGTCCTCTTACCCTGTTACAGCAGCAACCGTAATCCAGCAATAATCTCTTTCATGAGTGGCACCTGTGTTCCTCAGATATGTGTGGAAATTGCTACTCCATGCTGCCAATCTGTCATACTTTGTGTGATTTGCTTATTGTAAGACATAATTGTTTTCCCACTCAGAAACTTTAAGATATAACAGAAGAGGATTTCTGCCAACAGCAGAAAGAGTTTTGCTGTTTTGATGACCTTAATGCTAGTAGAAAAGTATGAATATCCCCAGTAGAAGTAATTATTATTATTAACATTGTTTCCAGTTCACCTATGCAAATAGACTGTGATGCTGTGCTGGATAACATCAATTTCAGAAGGATACCAGTTAGAAAGGAAAGTGCAAGATGCCTTCATAGCCTAATTGATTTTTGTTCTGGAATCTGAAACAGTATTTTAGAACAGACATGGCATAGGTTCCTTTTGCAGCTGTCATATCTTTCAGTTTGTACATAACCACTTTTTAAGTGTTTACTTTAATATAATTCATAACCACTGGAAAATACTTTACTGGCCTTCCTGTTCCTCACATTTGATAGTAAATAAACTATTCTTTGTGGAGATCATATCTGCTCTTACTTGGAGACTGCATATAGACAAATACATATCTTATGCAGTGTTTACATTTGCCTCCCAGTTTAGTTTTTTCCCAGTATGTGGGTAGAGAATCTTACAGCTATCCAAGGGGAGACAAATTTTAAATTTTAGTAAACATCTATTTCCTACTGAACTCAAACCGTGAAGTAAATAGATGTAAAAGTTTTGTTTTAAGGAGTATGTGAGAATTCATTCTTCAGTTGGAAAGATGTGACCTGAAGTCTTTGGCAAGTTGTGTTTTATTTTGTTCGTGAAGAACATAGTAAAGCTGTAGATGTACAAGATCAATTTTCAACTTGAAAATATTCAATCCATTTTGATGATTTCTTGTAGTAAGATTGGCAGAGTCTGCAGATATTTTCTTTGATTTTTAAAACTATTTTTTCTAAACAAATTTGAAAGTGATATTACATATGTGTACAATTGCATGGGCTTACTAGCAGAAATTGTAAATTAGTTTCGAAACTTGAGCATCTGGATCTTTCCAAAGATTTTACTGTTTCCACTCAAGTAAAGTTTTATCAGGAGCTCTGTCTTGAGAAGAGACAGATCTAACAGATCATTGAAGGTAAGACATGAAATCAGTGTTTCACAAAGCTCAAGTTTGTGTTCCTGCATTCTTTCATTTCCATTTCCCTTTCCACTATTCCTTGTGTTACCTTGCCATGGCTGAGTGGGGACACACCTCTCTCTTTGCTCTGTGCAACAAAGGTTTTGATCCTGTCTGTACGCTAGCAGAGTGAGGTTTAAGTAACATTCAGTCTAGAAAGCTGGAGGGAAAACCATTTGGTCGTAGGAGTTTTGTCTCCTTTATTCTCAGGTCTTTCTGGTTCTTCCAAAATTCCCAAAACATTACTTAAATCTTGTCTTAACTCACACTCACTGCACAAGGTTTCGAAGAATGTAGGAGGGCAGAAAGAAGGAAGGGACAAAAAAAGAGGAAAAAAAAAAGAGTTGTGATAGATAATATTTCTTCAGTGCATGGCTGTTTATACATTGATTTACACTGGACTCACCAAATCATAGAATGCGTTGGGCTGGAAGGGACCTGTAAGGGTCATCTAGTCCAACTCCCTGCAGTGAGCAGGGACATCTTTAACTGGATCAGGTTGCTCAGAGCCACATCCAGCCTGGCCTTGAATGTCTCCAGGGATGGGGCCTCCACCCCGTCTCTGGGCAACCTGTGCCAGTGTTTCACCACCCTCGTAGTAAAGAACTTCTTCCTAATGTCTGGTCTAAATCTACCCTGCCCTAGCCCCTCCCCAGCTTTCCTGTAGCCCCCCTTCAGGAGCTGGAAGGCTTTAGAGCTAGACATAGTACTCCAGGCGAGGTCTCATCTTCAGATGAGAAATTGAGGTGGGAAGTTACATAATTGAGGCATGAGTTGTTTTTTTTTTTTCTTAACAGCTCCCCAGCATTACCATGCTGACCACACTAGGAAGCATGAGACAGCACTGCTTTGTCAAATAGCAGCTCTGGTTTTTTGACTTGGCCACAGTTAAGGTTCAGGATCAGGTCAGTGATGAATTTTATGCTGGAAGTTACCGAGGAGTAAACTTAGTTAATTAATTCCTGACAGTTTATGGTTGCTTTTATACTGGGAAAAAATAGAATGTTGAATAACATAATAATAATGGAGTTAGTGTATATATATATACTATGTTTTGGGACAGGAAATATGTAAATTGGCCAGAAAAAAAAAAGCCAGCTTGAAAGTGGTGTCATTATTTCTGAATTAATATTTAGCATGCTGTGGCTAGCCTGTCTTACCACTGTGTGTGTTCTTTATTTTCTTTCTTCAGTTTTATTTCATTTGTCTGAAAAGAGGGTTATTGTTCCATGACAAATAATGTGCTTTGGCTGTTCACTCAGTTCAAGCTCTCTTTGAATTTGACTCTAAGAAGGGCTGACCATTCTCAGTACCCATTTACAGAATGAGCCTCTGTCATATGGCATTCAGTTAGAACAGATATTAACGTGAGATCACCAAGAGAAGTGTTTGATTCAAGAGAAGCAAAAGATAAGCGCCTAAGAAACAAAGATCACAGTGCAGAGAAATGAGTAATAGAAATACAAATTAGGGAGAACCAACAGGAAAAAAAAGGTCTGTTTACAGAGTATTTCTGCATATTCTTTGTGAGGTTTAGTGATTCACGAACTGCCTTGTATTTGCACAGTAAACTATAACAGTTCAAGAAGTCATCCTCAATGTTTCTAGCACATTTCAGAAATGAGAGCTGTCTCTCTGAGCTTTGGCTTTACTTTGGTGGGAGTTTGGTTTGCCTTTTTTTCTCAAAATGAAATGCAGGCCATGCTGTTGGTGATGTCAAAGTGAAAGGATAAAAGAAGTTGTAGAAGTTAGCAACAGAGCTAGTTGTTTGTTGCCCCCATCAGAAGTACAGTAGATGCACCTGCTTGTCACCTGTAGAATAATTATCTTCTGGTGTCTCTCAAAGAGGATCCTTCTCATAGCATGAGAGGCAAGTAAGGTTGTGATTTCTCTGACCGTGTAGGACTTCAGGATGGAAGAAGTCATTTTAGCATACTGCTTAGCATCACACTAATCTTCCCTATCATGCCCTCAGATTTACTGTTCCAACAAGCTAAATTGTCAAGGTAACATAAGGAATTGATTCACAACTTAATTTCCTGTGGTGAGCTGTAGCGTTGTGTGATTTTTGTTGTTTTCTTTCTTGACAGCGACATCTTTTGATTTTTAGTGGCCTCTGCTGGCCACTTCATGGCGAAAGTTTTACTCATGGAAAATTCACCTCTGTACTGCTTCTGAAATGTTTTCATTTCAGCAACTGTGATCACAGTCCCGTATTTTATTTCATTTGTACGATGTCAAGCTGCACCTGTAGCTGTGAACATAACACATTTTTCATTAACTGTAGTTTGTTTATCAAAATCTCTCAGGAGCCCTGAGATGCTGCGATCAGAAGGTTCCTACTCCACAGGAGGAAGACATTCTTCCACAGACTCCAACAAAGCTTCAAGTGGAGATGTCTCCCCTTACGACAACAACTCCCCGGTACTGTCTGAGCGCTCGCTGATGACCATGCAAGAAGAAGGTGCGCGCAGCCCAGAGAAGCTGTACAAGGTACCTGAACAGTACACGCTGGTTGGACATTTGCAGCCTAAGACAAAGGAGAATTCTTCTGCACTGCAGGCTGAAAAAGGTAGAGTACATCCTGCTTGTGTTCCTCCTTCTCAGCGACTGCGGGGGTTTTCCGAAGTAATTGAAAAGAGTCAGTTTTGTATTATCAGCTGCTGGGATCTGAGGAGCAATAGTGTAAGTAATCTTACAAGAAATGATTGAGCAACATCCCTTTTGTGTGTTCAACCCAAAGGGTCTGTGCTCAGTCCTCCTTATTAGCTCAGCCATCTGTGAGGAATGCTCTTGGTACAAGTTTTCTCAAATCTTGGAGATATTATTTAGGAAAATAGAACTATGTATGTCCTGCTTTTCAGCCTGTGACAGCATCTCAGACTGATTTCTAGTCTTGCTCCATAGCACTGTAATACCTTCAAGGTTATGGTCTGGACTTTGGAAAAATCTGAGATTTTTAAGGTGCCAAGCTACAAATTTTCTCCAATTGAAAGGAGTGACCCTAACACCATCTCACTGGAGAACACAGCTGAGCTGCACAGCTTTACATATGCTACCAATGACACACCTACCAACACTATTGCAGGGATCCATAATTTCCATAGCTATCTACGGAATGCACACCTGAATGATTTCTAATGTAAAGAACTGTAGTTTAAACTGATAGCTTACCAGCACTTCAAGATGCTTTTCATTTTAAAATGTTTTAAAAAGAAATTACGTTCATGAAGCGCATATTTAGTGAGCCAAACTATAAGAACTTTCAATGCTTAGGGATTCAGATAACTGTTTGGTGGTATTTTTAAAACCATTTTATTTCAGAGGAGCTGGTTAAGCACCTAGTTTCCTTTGGAATTAGCGGGATTTAGTCTCTTATCTGAATTATATGCTTTATAAATGCCAGTTGGCATTTATGTTCTCCATTCTGCATCTAAATCTCTGAATACATTTCAAAGTTTGGTCAAATTTTTACTAAGTTATGGACAGGAAATTACATATTTTTTTATCATATTAGCCATCTTTTGACTTTAATAAGTATCACAGTGATACTGGCTCATGACAAATTGGGAAATTCCTTTACTGTGAGATAGAATCAGAAAAAGGCCCGAGACAGTTGTAATCCAGCACAATGCCTGACACGTGCATTTCATTGAATCTCTTATCCTGTGACAGCACTTCTCTATAAGTCACAAGAGACGATGCAGGTTGGTGGAGGTGCCTTTTGGTGAGCCCTGGAGCTAGGGCTGCCTGAGGGATCTTTGCCATTCTTTCGCATAAAAAGCACACGAACTACCTGCTGTTGGCCAAGTCCTCCTGTTCTTGGGCAGATTCTCTTGACTGACTTCAGCAAGGCAGAGGACTTAAGGGAAATACCACTGTCAGCAAACTCGGGCATCCTGCCCATATAGAGCATACTGAACTCGTTTTGGGATCTGAGCCTGAAACAGCAAGCAGCTGTGAACAAATACATTTTAGATGGTTGGGTTAGGTGCACTGCGAGTCGGATGCCTGTATATGTTAACGATTCTGATACTATATGTAAGGTTTTTGCATTCCATTTGTATGTTTTGAAATAATGCCCTTAGGAGGATCAACTAATTAACTTCCTACTTCTATTTAGATGTTTCTGAAGATCATTTTGATATCTGGGGCACCTGGCATTCAACACTGAAAAGTGGCTGCAAAGATCCAGCAACGACAGGTCAGTTGTTCCTCAAGTTTTAAGCGCAGACCTAGCAAAGGCATAAACGGTTCCTTAGCTTTGAGAAATCGCAGTGAAACCAGTAGGAGAATTCATATTGTCCAGGGTTGGACTTTGTAAAGGTGATTGTTAATAAAATACAGAGAAGCACAGTGGCTATGCAAATGCAGTGACATTTCAAACTGTCAGAAGATAATTTGAAAAGTTATTTAAAAGTGTTTCCAAAATTAGTTTTATATTCTTCTAGAAGTCATTGGAAGGTGGGTGCCTGGTGGGGATTTGACAGCAGCTGATGCAGTGGCATGAACACAGCTGTGGGGTTGGCAACGCTGGGTGCTGACCCTACTTGTGGGCCAGCGTGGCCCCAGCAAATCCCTGACCCATTCCTGCCTGCAGTTTTCTTTATGTTAAAGGATAATGCAGGCTGATGTTGTCTTTCTGACTCTGGCCCCCAGGTTCTTACGGGAACATTTATGAAAGCAGCTTGCTACGACCCGGACAGTGCTCTCTTTCCCAGGGGAACCTCGCCGTGTATTCTCCTCGGTGTCAGGGCAGCTCCTCGGAGTGGGACCTGGGCAGACAGGTCATGCGAAGGAGCCAGACAACTGCAGCCATTCCCGAGTGTCAGCCCCATCCCACGGTGTCTCGGGTGTGCAGTAACCCACAAATTGAAGTCGGCGTCAGGAGTTCGGACCTGTCACACTCAAGGTCGGAGCAGCACTTGACTTTAAGCAGCGTGGAGGACCTCAGTGAGCGTGACTTGAACGCGGGTTGTTCGCCAAGCACCGCCAAGCCCTCCTACAGAAAAGAGCGACCGCCACCCCCCTACCCCGGCCCAGCAAAAACAAGCTCTGCGTTGTCACAGCGACCAAGCGTTTCTTCAACGTTGCACTCTTTGTGGAGGCATCAACGCCCAGAAAAAGGTTCAGGGACCAGAGCAGCTGGAGGACTGCCAGCCAAAGCCCCTGACCAGGTCAACCCCAGGCAGGAGCGGCCGGGCCCGCCCACTCGAGCGGGTCACATCAACTCCACGGCACCTCACAGTCAGAACAGTAAAAACGTTTCGGAGTTGGACTGGCAGGATTGGCAAAGGGAGAGGTGGCAAATTTGGGAGCTATTATCACCTGATAACCCCGATGCCCTCCCAGAAACACTTGTATGATCGAACTCTGCAGAACTGCTGCTCACACCAATGCTGCCGTCTCATAGGAAAACAACAGTGACAGTGGAAAACGGGAGGGGCTTGTTTGTTTTATAGCAACTGAATTGCATATACTTTTTTTAGCTTTGTTCACTTTAATTTCTTAACAGCACTGTCAAGCAGTCCATTTACAAATACAGTATGTTCTGGGTTTCAGCAAGCTTTTGAGAAAAAAACAAGATGAAAATTTTAGTCTAATAACTCTGTATACATATGCTGTGTATAAGATAAAACTGTTGCTTTGATGTTGCTAAAAATGTATTTATATATCTGCAGTTTTGATGATTGTATATTCTGTAATGGATATTGTATGATAATCATATATTATGTTTTCATATACAGAAGTCAATCAATCATAACTGCTTTTTAAAAAAAATCACTGCACTTACATTACCATGATATGCATTGGATTTCTATAGAAAGTGCACAAGCTGGTTTCTGTGCTTACATAAAAAACCCCAAACCTCTTAAAGGGGGAAGTTGTCCTTTTCACTGCCTATTGAAAAAAACACTAAAACAGAGTGGAACATAAAAAGCCATATATTTTGTAAGGGTATAGTGAACTTAGAGGGGAAAATGAAAAATATTTTTTTCATATAAATATATTTACAAACAAAATTGCAATTTGATACAAGATTGTACAAATATTTTTTTTAGATGATTCTAT